TAAATTGGTGGAAGACAAATGTTATATCAAAATCATATACTTCGATGAGATCTACAACTTTGTAGTTGAAAACTTCTTCGTTTTAAACCATTTTAGGTATCAAAATATTTGTTAAAAGTTCTTAGAAGTGGTTGCTTAAGTCAACCGCCCTTGAAATGATTTGTACTTGTGGTACTTAAGAAAACCTCCACTACAAATAGCTTCCATGGATGGGTCAAAAGGTTTGATTCTTTTATTGCTATCAGTAGCACCTGTGTAGTGGGATGGTAATAAGAAAAGTGTGTAGTGGGATGGTAATAAGAAAAGCGCGAGGGTTGAGTTCTTGGATTCGAATTCTAGAGAACACTCAAATTTGTATTTATAAGGAAAAATCATGTAACGTGGTAGGCGAGCATAGCCAGCGGGATCGGGCCTAGCTATGCACTTTTGTATTTTTATACACTGTTTTTTTAATTTCTATTGACAGTAGTTTAAGAGGATCGTTAGTAAAAATATTTTTCTATTACTAGTGTTATATTAGGTCAAAAACCATGAAGATGTCTCAAATGTTGATCAAAAAAGCTAGTCAATAACAACTTAATTTGGATGTGTGGTTAACATATGTTTTAATGAAACGAATGATAACCGTGCGGAGTACCGGCGTGGTCCGCATGGACACAGCAGAGTCCCGGTGCTTCCTTCTGTCGCCCGAAGTCCCTAGGCCTACGGCCTACTGCCACTACTGATGTAGCAATGGGCCGGGCCACACTGAGACTTTGCATGGTCACTCTACGTTTTACCATGGACCAATGATCCTTGCGTTGGGTTGGGCTGCCACACCCCACTTTCCACTTTTATGAACGCGCACAAAGATCATACTACCCCTTTTGCTAAAAAAAAACAAAAAACAAAACAAAGATCATACCCCTATAAATACGTTCGTGAGATGGACATGGACTCGGCATATTTTTTAAATCAACAAAGTTTATTGTAGGCACCAGCTCATTGACAGGAACATGACCTAGGCACGTCCTACTTCTATGTAATTAAGAGCATGTTTAGAGGGGATCCAGCTCCGGGTACCGTAGCATCACTGTGGAGGAGCCATCGAACCCTCCAAATCACAGCTCATCCGGCTCCGTTGGTTTTGCAGTGCAATTTGGAGGGAGCCGGAGCCCTGTTGGGAGCCGCTAGCTACACACGCCAACAGTGTCTAACAGGACCAAAGCAGGAGGAGCCAGAGCCCCTGGAGCCACGCCAAACACTACCTAAGTTGCAGCGCTGCTAGCACGTTTAATTGCAAAGATAAAAAAAAACTCCCACCAAAGTATATTGTTTCTATATGCTGCGTGTATTGCGCGCAACATCTTTCAATCTACAAATGCATAACATGGGGAGTTCGCATGACCACTGAGGTACTCCATCCATTTCAAACCATAAGTCGTTTTGATTTTTCTAGATACGTAGTTTTTATCATGCACTTATACATAGTCAAAATAATGCATCGAGAAAAACTAAACTGTCTTATAATTTGGGACAAAGGAAGTAGGAAAAAAGGAAAGTGCTTGTAACATGTAAAATCGTCCTATGCAGGATTACAAATTGCCTATTGCAACATACAACACACAACCAACGTGCAACATCCATCCAAAAGTCAAACTCATTATCTAAAAAAAACAGCCACAAGTCAACTAATGAAAACCCTAAAGTAGAGGGGGAAAAAGGAAAACTACTTACAACATGTAAAATCGTCTTACAATATCACAAATTGCAGGTTGCAACGTACAATACAACAGTTCTCTCCAAGATTACGGAAATCCACATGCAACACATCCAATAGTCAACTAGTGAAAACCATTGAAGTAGGAAAAAATAAAATACTTGTAGAATGTAGAAGCGTGTTATGGCAACATCTCAAATTGCCTATTACAACATAGAACACTAAAAAATATTTCCAAAATCACAAAAATCAACAACATCCAAAAGTCAACTAACAAAACATCTCAATTACCCTTGAGCAATATTGAAAGATTTATTTAGGGTTAATTTGAAACATGCCATTATAAATGTCACGTTTTGGAAATCCACCATTACTATTCATGATATTGAAAATCTGCCATTACAATTTCTACTTTCTTTGAACCGTGCCATTTTATACGCCTGACTACCCCTTGGGCCCATCTACATATGCATGTATTTCTGTATTTCCCAAACTGCCCCTTTCTTCTTCCTCAGTCAAGAAACTAAAATCTCAAAACAATGGCGTCATGAGGTGTGTGGACAGCACAAGGCGTGGGAGTGGGGCGACTGCCGGTGAAGCGCGGGTGCAGCAGTCCTCCACATACATCATCTCTCTCGCTCTCTCTCTAGCTCAAGCCACCAGCTAACGGCGGACCATCTCGTTCCCTTCCCTCGCCGTCGATGAAGAAAGCAACAGGGCCGGCACAAGGGTGGCCGTGAACCCTATGATCCGGCGCACCAGAGGAGGGCGGCGGTGTTGCAGCGGTCGCGACGGCGCTTCGTGTGTGTGGGCCGCCACCCTGCTGCTGCAGCGTGGCCGGATCTGCTGGCGCCAGTGCGGCTGAGTCCGCCGGCAGCGCCATGGCAGCCTGCCGAGCACTTGATGCGGGAGAGGAGGGCGCAAGGGCCTGGCCTAGCTATTCCGTGAGGCGGTCCCGGAGCACGTGGGCCTCATACTGGCCCAGGGACGTCGGGCGGAACGTATGTAGCCGACCGCCGGCGAGGGCACCACCCGCTGCTTGGACCCATCGGCGCGTGGTTAGGGATGTTCGGTGGTAGGGTCAGGGGTATAGGCACGAGCAAGGCACTTGTCTCCGCAGAGTTGTTGTGGTGGGCTGCAGTGCATCCCGGCCGGCCAACAGGGCGGAGGCCATCGCCAGCGCCAGCGAGGTTCCACGAGCTCGATTGGTGTGATGGCAATTTGGATCTAGGAGAGCGGTAGTGGTGGTTGAGCTCGACGGCAACCATGCCATGGGAAGCGGTGGCGAGGGTGTTGGGGATGAGGGCCGACGCTGCCACCACCATGTTCGCCGCCGACAATACCTCCATGCCTTGTATTGAGGAGAAGAAACAGATGAGGAAGAAAGGGGCATTTCAGGCAATAGTGGTCTTCAACTCGGGTCCAAAGACATCTAAGATGTAGAAAATGACATGCTTCAAGTAAATTGTGAATTGTAATGGTATATTTATAAATAGACGAATAGTAATGGTAGATTTCTCGTCCATGATATTTCTAATGGCATAGTTCAAATTATCCCATTTATTTATCACCGCAAACACTACGAAATGATCTTTTATATGTAACATCTCTAAATCAACGGTGCAACATCACAAAATTCAATGAAATATGGATTTGAAACGTTTCTACAAGAATCTAAAAGCCTACTAAACACATACACAAATGCCACAAAGAGACAAACGTTTCAGGATAATCACTTGTAACCGATTCTCGTTTTTTACTAGTTCAGAGAAACATCCAAAACCATGTTTCTCCCAATTCTTTCTTTTTTTTGAAAAAAAAATTAGCAGGAGCACTGCTATACCACATAAGAAGAAGAGCAAATCTGGAGTCTTACATATTAATGCTACATATAAGAAAGGGCACGCGCACACACAAACACTAAGATGGAGGATCATTTGGGGTTAAAGGAAATCTGGTAGCACTTGTCATAAGTCTTATTTCTTCTTTGATTAGGCCCAGCACTTGGAGTGTTGATCATGCCGATTGCGTCAATCCTTCAAAGGTCCTTTGATTGTGCTTTTTTCAAATGTTCCAAGACAAGTACGCATGAGGATTGCTGATATTGTTCTCTGTTTCGTTGCATCCTGTCCTTGAAGCCAGCCAAACATATTTGTGAATCCAACGAGTTTTTGTCCAATTTCTAGTTTCAAGAATCTAACAAGATATTCAAATAGTTTCATGAAGTAATTCTAATTTACCAGAGAAATTAAACGCTTACGAAGAATGTCCAGATTCATAACGTTTCTACGAGAATATGGAATCCTACCAAACGCATCTAGTCAAGTTGCATGTGAATTGGATGCATGGAGTTTGCATGTCCCTGACTTACGCATCACTATGCAGCAGGATCCAGGACGAAGTTCTCCAAGCATGGCCGCCAGGTACGGTGTATGGATACTTCTTCTCTGAAACTACGATGTACAAGGACGAAATTCCAGTTATAAACTAGTCTTGGCTCCATAGTCCTAGGAGGATGACCACAAAGTAAATTTGTCCGTTGCTTCCAAATGGATACGAAAAACACAAGATGTACGGAATTATCCTCATCTCCAATGCCAGCAACTTAGGATATCCTGTACTTCCTCTGTTACAGAACGAAAGTCGTTATAAGATGCGTTAGATCAAACTTTTTTAACTTTAGCTAGGTTTGTAAAAATACGTGCAACATTTACATATCTCTAAATAAATTTATTATAAAAATATATTCAACTATCTATCTAATTATACTAATTATGTATTATAAATATTAATATTCTTTTATATATAATTGGTCAAAGTTTAAAAAAAATTGATTTCTGAGAAACGAGAATAACTTCTCTCCTGCAATGTCCGAGAGCATTGCATTGCTACTACTAGTCTACTACGACGAAGCTAAGCTACTTGCTTGTCTGCATCTACCTCTCCTAGTTTGCTCAGATGCTTGGTTCAGTACGTCCAAATCCCTACCATCAACCCCAAGAAAAAGCCCTAGAATTTCTTGTTCTCGTCGGCGCTGCCTTTGCATTGTTGCATGCATGCATCCGTACAACACAAGCATCCCCATGTACGTATCACCTGTGTATAAATACGGCACCAGCGTGAACTTGCAGTCCCTGCTCCCAGTCCAACTACTCAACTGTAGCGTGTAGGTGATCGAGCTCGAGCTAGCTTATACACACACTGCATGTACACAGTGCACACAACGACGTCGCCATCGTCGTCGTCTGCCATGCATCGTCCTACTCCTATCCCTACCGAGAACGACGACGACGACGTGTCAATGTGCGTGCCGGCGCCGGCGCCGCCGTCACAGCAGGAGCACCTGGTGCAGGACCTGTGCGGGTGCGCGGGCCACGTGGAGGCGGGCGCCATCGAGCGGGCCGGCCGCTGCCTGGCGCGCGCCACCGGCCTCGCCGCCGCGGTGGGCGACGGCCCGCTGCGGCGCCTCGCCGTGCCCATGGCCGACGCCCTGGCGCGCCGCCTCATCCGCCTCATGGTCCCGGCCGTCGCCGACGCGCTCATCGACCCCTCCGACCACCTCGACCCGCGCTGCCTCCGCGCGGCGCGGCGCAGCTTCTTCGAGCTCAGCCCGTTCCCCAGGGCCGCCGTCGCCGTCGCCAACCGAGCCATCCTTGAGGCCATGGAGAACGAAAAGGTTCTGCCTTGGCTTGTGTACTGTGCTAGTCCACCGATCGAAGAACAGAGCTACTCCTATACTAAAAATAATTAACGGTCTTGTGCTAAAACCCTAGCAAAAACTGAAATTAGTTTAAAAGATGGATCAGTGGCACTATTTTTGTGAAGAAAATAGTGCTAAGTACAGTACTTGCTAACCTTCCGTTTTACGGTAACCCTAGTAAAAACTAGAATTTAGATTAAAATATGGATCACATGCTATTTCGCCGTGTTTTACGGTTTGTCTTTTATGTGAATATTCATATATTATTGGTACAACTGGTCAGAAAAATATGGCATGTTTAGGAAATATAAAAAATGTACTTACTGTTTTGGATATGAAAGTAGTCACAATCTTAATAGAAATTATAATAAAATTATTTGGCAAATATTTTTTAAAAACGACTTCTACTCCAACAAAGCAAACACAGCCCAAGCTATTTTAAGAGGAGATCGACGGTGCCTGCCAAACTAGCTCTCAGTCAAAGTTATCATTTTTAACAGAGGGCATTCAGATTCATTTATTTATATATAACAGTAACAAAATTGTTTCACTTTCACGGTGATCAGAATGTCCACATCATCGACTTTGCGGGGCCTACCGCGCAGCCATGCCAATGGATCAAGCTCCTACACGACTTCAACCGTCGCCCGGGAGGGCCGCCGCACCTGCGCCTCACCATCGTCCACGACGACGGGGACCTCCTTGCCAACATATCAGAGCTGCTCACGGACGAGGCCGAGCAGCTGGACGTGCCACTCCAGGTGCACCGCGTGGTCGGCCAGATCGAGGCACTGGATTCCACCGACCTGCACGGCGTGCTCCGGCTGAGGTCCGGCGAGGCGCGCGCGGTCGTCTGCACGCTGCAGTTGCACCGCCTCCTCGCGGGCGCCGACGACCCGGCGGGCACCTTCAGCGCCGGCCACCGCTTCAACCAGACGGCGAGCGTCGCGCGGCTGCAGCAGATGGCGTCCACCTCGTGCCCGCCGAGCGTGGGCGCGTGCGGTAGCCGTGGCGACTACGACGACAGCGACAGCAGCCCGGCCACGCCGATGGGCTTCGTCTCGCCGCCGCTATCTACGCCCCAGCTCCAGATGCCGCCGGCGCTGGCGAGCTTCCTGTCGGCGGCGCGCGTGCTGTCGCCCGAGGTGGTGGTGGTCACGGAGCAGGAGGCCAGCCACGGCGGCGTCTCGTTCCGGAAGCGCTTCGGCGAGGCGCTGGGGTACTACGCCGCGGTGTACGACAGCCTGGACGCGGCCGCCGAGGCGTACCGCCGGCCCGCCACCGAGCGGGCGGAGGTGGAGCGCGCGGTGCTCGGGGAGGAGATCCGGGACGTGCTGCTGCGCGAGGGCGCGCACCGGCGCGAGCGGCACGACCGGCTGCAGCGGTGGGCGGCGCGCATGGAGCTGGGCGGGTTCAGGAGCGTGCCGCTGAGCTACGTCGCGATGAGGCAGGGGAACGACGTGCTCCACAGGTGCGGCCTGAGCGGGTGTGCGGCGCTGGAGAGCAGCAGAGACCACGGCGGCTGCCTTCTCTTGTGCTGGAGCTCGTGGCCACTCTACTCGGTCTCGGCATGGCGGCCGGACGGACGCTCAGGTGCTCCCGCTCCCGGTCCCGGGAGCTGCAGCTAACTAAGCACTGACAGCGCCGTGCCAAATGGAAGTGGTGGCTCCTGCTCGGCATAGTTTTGAGGAGAGCTGATGTGCTGATCGATGGCGATTCATTCGAGGGGCAGTGAATTTGGCTGTGTTAGCATTCAGGGTTAAAGTTTAGTCGTGTCACATCAACGTTCGGATGTTAATTAGCAGTGCTAAATATAAGCTAATTATAAAACTAATTACATAAGAGTAGACTAATTAGCGAGACGAATCTATTAATCCTAATTAATCCATAATTAACAAATATTTACTGTAGCACTATATTGTCAAATTATGGACTAATTAGACTTAATAGATTTGTCTCGCAAATTAACCTCAATTTGTGTAATTAGTTTTATAATTAGTCTATGTTTAATTCTTCTAATTGGTATCCAAAGATTCGACGTGGCATGACTAAACTTTTGCACGAGTGAAACAAACACAGCCAAGGTAATTAAATTAATAGGTGTCACACTGACATGCATGGAGATGATTGATTGGAATTGGAACAAGAATGATGTAGTGTTTGACAACGCAAAAAGGAAAATCATATTTGCTACCATCAGCTCTAGGTGATCAGGCAAATCAGCAAGGGCTCTTTTAGCAGCATACCCATGAAGAAGAATGACATAGAAAGTTACATTAGGTTTTATGCCCAATAATCGTAGAATCAAAAATCTTTTGGGCTTCCGTGCATTTTCCATTCTTGCAAAGATAATACAACAGCAGACCATAAGTAACAACATTTAGGTGAAGACCCCAAGCGTACATTTCTTTGACCCTTCGAACCACCTCTTTCCACTATCTTGTAGAGAGGTATCCATGGATCAGACAAGTATATGTTTGAACGTCTGGCTTAACACCTTTATCAATCATCTGTTGAAGGACATCCTTCGCCTAGTCAACTGTTTGAGCTTTGCACATGCCATCAATGATCGTGTTGTATGTCACAACATTTGGCGAAATCCCCCGATCAAGCATTTCAAGGAACATGTTGTAAGCTTTTTCCACCTGACCCTCGCCAAACAAACCATTGATAAGCGTGTTGCAAGAAACTACATTCGGCATGCAGCCAAAGTCAGGCATTCTTGGGAGCAGTATGTTCATGGCCTCGTCCACCCTCTTGGCATCACAGAGGCCCTTGAGCAATTGATTGATGACTACTTCATCCACCCTCTAGCCCGTCTTCAGGATGAAGCCGAAGGCAGCGAAGCCATCCTCCAGGTGACCGAAGTGTTGGTATATTTAACGCACACAGATAAATCCATAAGCGCACAGATACCGCTGTGGCTTTCACCCGGAAGTTTCCAAGTATCGTATCCACAGGGAAACGTGTGAGACTAACTATGATCTAACTTAACAAGGGGTAGCAACAAGGTTATGATAACTAGGAGCGTAGAGAAAAAAACTAAGGTTCTCTAGTTCTGACATGGGTAAGCTATGCCTTCTACTATTCAACTGGGGACATTACTTAAGGAAAGACACCAGCAGAGGATGCTTCCTGTAGTAACCGCGTCCTACTTGCCCTACAAACGGGACGTGGGCTACAGAGGATTCAATGAGGCTATAAGAGTCACCCTCGTGAGCTACCACCGATCCGGAATGCAGGATGCATCCACAAGTAACCAGAGTCTAAGCACCACGCTTACACTACAATTACTACTTTACTCTTCCCGAATAAAGAATAAAGCACTCAAACAAGCTGTGAACCTCATAAATAATATAAACAAGAAACTTACTTGAATTAGAAGTTGATTACCAGAGAAATCTTAATGGCAAGCTCAGATATAACTTGGATCCACCAAGGTACAAGCCGTAGAGAGAGCACCGATAGGCCAGCATCTCCTCCAAACTCTTCCCTCACTCTCCATTTCACTATTATTTACAAGACTAGATCCTATGGAGGATTAATCTTCTCTTGATAGCTGGCTCTGATCCTGAAGATATGAATTAAGGTTTTAGGGATGGCTCCAGGGAGGGTGGCAGGGGTTGGTATATATAGGCTAGAGCGTCCAACGTGAGCCCTTGGATCAATCCAACTTCAAGGACGGCGTAGATGCAACCTAAGAGGCAGTGAAGAACCGACATTGCGACGCGGAGGCTGACAAGTGGACCCAGGGGCTAGGCGGCCTACAGGTGGGGCCGGCTGGCCCCACATGGCAGCCCCTCAGGGTCTGCTTCGATGGAGAGCCTCCTGCAATCTTCTAGAATCTTCCTACGTTGTTTACGCGGTGGAATTCCGTAATTTTCTTTGACAAATAGGTCCCCCTTGATGGTTTTCTAGACAAACCCTGCTGAAAATACAGATTTACCAAAACTCATGGAATTTATTAGTTTAAACCCCTATACCTATGTTTGGTGATAGAATTAAGTATAAATGCAGGTTATGTTGACGGTTTATAATTGGTGTTAGTGACCGTCAACAGGCTCCCCCAAGCTTAACCTTTTCCAGTCTCTGAGCAAAGCTAAACTCAATAATGGATCAGGAGTTGCTATAATGTTTTCACGCCTTAAAAGTACACATTCGTTCAATCAAAAATTCTCCCCTGGATTAGAATAAACTGATCTGACTTTCAAAGTTACCCATATTACCTTCAACCATGGGGCTTCTTAACCTTCACTTGGGTCTTGAGCAATTGAAAGACAGAACGATCAAGTCAAGCACTATGTCTCAAGTTCTTTGTTTCACCATTGTTCCAGAGTTTTTATAAGTTTTCAAAATAAAACTCAGAGATTCCATTGTATAACACTCTCAAGTGTATCAATATATGTGGTATTTGTGGATCCTCACCAAGGCAATAAAGATGTTATGCCTTTTCTCTTCCAACTACTAAGGCTTATGTTGAGTTCATAGGTAGGGACAAAGCTAGAGCATACTTGCAATGTATATATTATAAAGTCAAACAACGGATCCAAAGAGAGTTGAGTCATACAATCAAATCAGGATGTGCATGTGTGTGGATATATGGTGGATATAAATGGTGGCTAACTTAATTCTACTTTGCTCCTTAAAAACATATCTCTCTTTTAAAACTTAGAAACATTTCCTAGAGAGCAGGGGCTATCTTATTCATCTTTTTTTCACGCAGACATCTAAGTACCCATTGTTTTAGATATCTCGGACACTTGTCTATTTTTTTTCAATCTCTTTTCTTTCTTTCTTTTTTTTACTTTTGAATAACTTTTGCATAGTCCCATGTCTCTTTTCTGCAACAAAACTTTTAGAGAGATATCAATAAGAACCTAGAGTATTTATTTGGAGGATGGAAAACCTAACAAGCATATTTTTGGGTTCACTCCCAATATAGGAGTAGAACATTTTTGGGTGGATCTAGATGGAAAGACATATTTTTACGCCTACCCCTAGTATACGAGTAGCGCATATGTGGGTAGTGTGTACGTAATCTTGATTTTAAGAGCATGATAAATCTCTCATAAGGGTCAACAAAGCTTGACAAAACTCAATGCAAAAGCAAGCAACATATATGTGGAAGTTTTCCTAGCCTAAATAACCTGTATGGCTTTAGTGGGAATTCAAGCTTTATCATACAGGAACTCATCATATAATATTTTTATGTTTTTCAAAAGATAAATCTTTGAAACTTTAGTGTCATTTGGAACAAGATAAACAACAGCTCAGACCATCTCATATCATATTCGTTAATTACCTAGACTTAGATCAAGCATATGCTACCCACGAGTTTCAAGTTCAGAGTAAATCCTTATATCAAAACAATCTTATCCAAAACTCAGGAGAATTCAAGGCTAAAAACTAGGTACTTGAAAGAAATTACAACAGAGCAACTATTCATCATGTCCATTTTAAAAGATTACTCTGAGTTTTCTTTATTTTATTCAACTCTTAAAAATAAATTAAAGCAAACTAGACACATTTTTTTTTTTTGTTTTCAATTTTACTAGATCACACATTATTACTATAGATGACTAATGTAAAGATAAATTTTTATTTTGTTTTTCATTCATTATTTTTTTAACTATTAAAAAGAAACTAAAATTAAAACAAAAATGAGGAAAGAATACTTACCTGGATACACGAGAAGTGCTTCTCCCCTAAGCTAGCTCTTTCGGTGAGGGTTCGGTATTGTAAGTCCTTTGAACCAGACTTCTCCTTGTGAAGTTCATTGATCAAGTACCTTGGTTTGCTCTGAAGATGATAATTCTTGAGGTGACGCCTCTAATGGTGATGTCACCTTCTTCCGCCAAACCTGTCTTGGTTTTGAGTTTTTATTTTGGTTTGACAGGTTCAGGACCTTCACTTGTAGAAATTAGGGAGTCGACTATCTTTCCCTTACACATTGCTTGATGTGTGTCCTGCTCATAAGACAAGGTAGAGATTAAGTGCATGGGCTCTGTTGGTGGAAAACACCAACATAACTAAAAACTTTATTTATTCTTTTCTAACCTTTGGCACATGGGACAAGATGAAGTTGATGTTATGTACTTTGTTTAATTGTAACATGGGTGGTAAGATCAGAAGATTGAGCATGAATATAGCATTTAAGTACATTTGGCCAAAAGGGTTAAATTGCCTAACCTACTGAAGGATTATCTTTTTCTATATAATGTATCAATCTTTACGTGATTATGACTATCATCTTCTAGAGATAAGATATGCACTTTTTAACTCATTTGGTTAAGACTATACGATCAAGAAAGTGGTGCTAGGAATAAACTTGAAGAACTAAACATCTTGAGTTAATCAGGTTAGATCAAGGAATTGTAACTCAGTCGTGTTTGTTTCTTATTTATATGCATACCAGAATTAAGGAAAAACTTTTTAAATAATGACCATTTACCTTAGGATGTTACCTTTGTCATTAGAGCGTGAAGACACCATATGACGAAGGGTAGATGACTCATGATGGTTCTTCCCTTTTGCTTGAAGTTTTCCTTGCTCGGCTAGTCTCGCATCTTGAGCTATTCATGAGCTTCTTGTTTCCTAGATCGCACCTTTTCTTTCTCATCCTTTTGTC